GGGGGGGGTATTGGGTAAGACATAGATGTACGTGTTTAAAGAAGTTTCTTTTTTTAGATTCTTTCTTCTGTACACTGTTTGACAATGAGAAATTTAGGACGCTTTTAGTAATAGGGCGTTCGGAATCTTTTCAACCATTGCTATCATGAAAACTAAAAGACTTGAAAAAGAAAACAAAAACAAAACAGATAGTACGTTACAGAAAAACGTTATGCCTAAAACGGCTTACCACTGACCTTCAACTTTTTAATATCTTCTTTCGTTACAATGATTATTTCGACAACATATTTATGACTAAATACACTAAATCCAATGTAAGGTTTGGATATAGTTTTTTTCTGGAGATGGTTATAATATGTTTCTTAGACATGCATCCTTTAATTTCAAACAGAGCAATAAATTTAACCCATTTAGGTCTGTAGCATTATCCCATACCTTCTTTTTTATCTTTCACAGGAATAACAGAACTCACAGACTGGTGGAGCGAAGAAATTAGCAAAGAGTAAAAGGATCGTTTTCAAATTCGCAAGTTTTCTAATACTGGAGTATTTGTGCGTGTTGTGACAGAAGAAGATCTTCCGAATCAATTTTTTACGGCCGCAACCAACTACGTACCAATGCAAATGACGAATACCATAATATCTGAGATAGGCTCTTTACTGCTGTAAACTGACAGCTAAAACTTGAGGATGTGACTATGGATCGGAGTCGGCGCGGATACTTTTTTTTACGTCACAGAAGAAGAGCCCATACGTCGAACTGGTCAAGATTGCCTTCTTTGACGTCATCCAGTCTCTGGCCTTTGAAGTTGAACGCTGTCCAGTGGTCGGCGTGGTCGCCTCCTCGAGCGGTGGAGCAGATCTTCACCATTTTCCTCATCTGTATGCTGGTGCTACCAACTGCCTCCGGTAAGTTGTTAGTTTTTCTGCCTGTCTTCTTGATGAAAAAAGAAACTCTCCTCTCTCTCTGCTACCCCTTCCCTCTCCCTCTCCCCACCGTCTCCCCACCGTCTCCCCGCCCCTTCCAAAGTCTTTACTTTCCCAACTGATTGTCTACGCAAATGACTGCGTTATCGACATAGACAGCAAAACGAGGCAGTATGCAAATGTGTCTGTTAATGGAAGCGAAAGGGAATCGTATGTACGTATATAAGTGTAGTGAATGTCTATATAATTATCATAATATAGATTTATGTTCGCGTTTTTTAAATTGTTTTACCCGTTTATACTGGTAATAGATTGCAGGGTGTGGGTTAAGCAGGGTAAGGGATAGTGTGCAGATTCATCAGTCATTATCAAGAACCATCATTGTTCTGAATTCCTTATAAAGTGAAAACGATTGGTGTGTTGGAGAAAATGAAGAGGGAGGTCGAGCTGGTGCCGATTTTCTTAAGGTTTAGAGCAGCTACCTTTTGAAAAGTGTGTGTCTAACGTAAAATATAACAGGCAGTAGTACTTAGACGTGACCATCGGGTATTCTATAATGGTAACTGTATTTATAAATGCCTGTGGAAAAATATCTAGTATATCTTTCCTGTTTGATCAAAACTGGACATGTATGGGTTCTCTGTTTTCTGGGGGAATAACATCATAATATTATCGATGGTTGTTTTTATCGTATAAAAATATAAATATATTATGTATGTATGTATTGCCATCATAAGTATCATTGTCCGGTGAAAGGGCATTTTGAAAAAGATAATACATTTATGTATTTTTGGGAAGCCTAGAAATGTACTTTAGAGTAAAGTTTATGAAAAGCGATGTACTGTTATGTCACATTAGTGTTAAACCTCTATCCTTAAACCTAAACAAAAACATTCTCACCGCAAAGTGGGGTCTCTTTTCGATTTTATTTTATTTCCATTTTTATTTTTGTAAAAATTTTTTGGGGGTGGGGGGTGGGTACGAGCGAGGAAAAAACATGATGTACTCACGAGACACTCGCAGAGCATGCACTGGTAGACCCAGGTGTCGCCGTTCTGCTGGTGAGTCTTGTACTCCTGGTGCTGGCACGTGCTGCTTAGGTCACAGCGGGGGCAACAGTCAAGGTCAACGGCGGGGTCATTGCAGTCACAGCGGGCCTGGTGGCATACCGTGCGGCCGGTCTGTGGGG